GGCTATTTTCATAGTGATCTCTGAATAAATTATACAAGGTAAAATGACAGATAAGAGACTTATAAATGATAGACATAAAAGACAGATAGTTAAACGTATAAATGATAGGACACAGACAGACAGACAGGATAGATAGAAAGACAGACAGACAGACTTATTAATGATAGACATAAAAGGCAGACAGAAAGACGTATAAATGATAGGACAGACAGACAAATAAATATATAGATATTCCTCACTGTCCAATCAGAATGAACAGGTCAGGAGATACTCACAACAAAACAAAACAACACCTTACTTCTGAGTTCAACACCCATTGCGTAAGTGTGCATGTTGCTGAGCGTGTGGTGTGGGATTGTATTCTAGTTGTGGTTGTTTTCACGTTCATCTTTCCAGGGACACTGCCAGAAGCACAGTTCAAAGACAATTATAATGTCTGTGCGGCTAATAGACATCTTGGCATATCCAAATGTGTGCATATCCACATCTTGTGCTGTAAATAATATTTCACATGTGCTAAATGCCTCAAGCAAAAATAGAAACTGTTATCCCTGCAGGCTTCTTCACAGTAGCAGGTTATTTGCCTTTCAGTGTGTCAGAGGATAAAGGTCAGTAAACTTGGGGACGAACTGAATCTGTTTACTTGAGGACTAGCAGCGGCTACAAGAACTTCTTCACACACAACGGGATGCCACAAAAAAAGAAAGTTCAAGCACGTATTTACCCCGCAAGCTGCTGTCTGGCATAGTCAGCATGCAAAAATATGCTTGCATCTGCAGTGCAGACATTAGACATTAACAGGAAGGTGTTGAAGTCTGAAGGTGTTCACTGATAACAGTACTTGGAGCAGATGCTTCAACCACATAACTCCAGCTTCCTTTGAAGGTCCTAAAACCACATGGAAGCAAGCACACAAAGTCTGCAGCTTCGAGGTCCCACCCTGACGCTTCCTGTCCATGGAAAATACAGGAAATTGGAAACCCAGTTTAGGCAAGACAAGTGCTTTGCAACAGAGGTAGAATTGAACTTCAGTCTTCACCCCCTTTAGTCTTAAAACACTTGTGGTGTACTCTCTGTGGACTCATATAACAAACGCACAGCTTCCTGTTAAAGGTTTACAGTTGTGGATGTGATTGGTGAATGAAGTCTTCATTCAGGGAGCTGCACGTGCAGGCATAAACGCTCTAGAGTAATTTGTTAACAGCCCCAGGGAGTCAAGGCAGTGCCTGACCTCTGAACGAAACGGTGGAGTCCACGGTGCACTAGGAAAACAGAAAATACATCTATTCACTGAAACTTGACCCGCCATTTCCTGCCCCGATTAATCACCCACAACAAATGTAACAGTCAGGAAAAAAGCAGCCAGGACAGTAGTTTGCTCCTGAACGTAGCCAGTCCTTACCGTCACGTCTAGACGGCTGGAAGACAGATGGACCGTTGAGGCTGTCGGCTAATGGTGGGTGCAAAATATCATGACTAACACAAGAGGTTTTCAATAATGAGCTGCTTTCAGCCGACGGTCTTCATCACGTCTGAGTGGCCTCCATTCTGGCTCTAATGATCTGCAGACTCTTGGGCTGCTTGCTTCAGTTAAGAAAGACCAAACAAAGAGGTCTGTCTTCCTTGGTGGTGTGTTTCGAAAGCGGCATCCTTTTTTCGGACACAAAGGAAACGTGTCTCCTATGAATCTTTTATTGTAAAGGGACAAAATTATGTCCAAGACATGAGTCACAACTTAATTTAATGGTTCGGTTGTACGTGCAAGCTTGACATCCTTTGCTTCAAACATAAGAATGTCCCCATGTTTTACTAACTAACAACTTGGGATTGTCCTCTCATATACTAAAATCGTGCAGCCCTTGCAGAATGGCATAAATAGAAGATAGTCTTCCAAAGGGTATCAATTCCCTTCCTCTCTCTCTGGACTTGCAGAGTCAAGGTATGAAATGTCACAAACGTGATAATTTTGACGAACACAAGGTGACAGCTTGAAGCAACTCTATTTAGAAAATTGTAGGTGCTTGTCAGGTTTCATTTTGCCTGAGGCCTGAAGTGAACTAGTTCTTGAGTATGGGCTGCACCCACAACTGTCAAAAGATCCCATCCTGAGCCACTAGAAAGAAGTGTTTTCATGGTCATGTTTTCTTTTGAACTGGTGAACCAAAACAAAGTCTTCGGTACACCGCCACAGTGGGTTTCTCTTCGTTTCAATTAAAGGTTAGGAGACGTAACGTTGCAGAGACTCCATGCTGGGCTGACATGCTGTTCTCCACTCTCCGAGTCCTCAGGAAATTTAGGCTCGCGTATGGGAGTCACATCCTTCAATTGTTGTCGTACATGAGATCAAGAAGCGCACAGAGAAGGAAGTCAGTGAGCTATTGTGCGCCAAGTACACAAACAAACAAAAATTTGTTTTGGTTCGAGAATATAGGTTTGACAATAAAACAGAAGATCGATCCTGAAGGCTTTGATTCTTGTGGCAACAAGTCATTTCGGGGCTGAAGAACAACGAATCCAGAAACGTGGGAAAATGTCAGGTAGGCACTTGTCAATGTGAAGTACGGAGGTCAGGATTTCCCTTGTTCTTCCCCCAGAAACTCAACACCATCCCAAAAGAGTTGTTATCGCACAAACATCTGCAGCCTGAGCAAATCAAGCCCTGTGACGGTAGCACAGCCATCCAGCTGGACTGACCCCGCCAGACTGTTTGCAACAAGTGATGATGAGTCACTAGCACTGCGAAATATGATGGAGAACTCAATGTTCAGTGCTTGTCAACATCATCCCGTGACCCTGATTGCAAGATACAGTGTGCACAACCCATCACATCTAAGGTTGAAAATGTAGAAACATACAGTACAAATTTATCTCAAACCTAGCACAGAATGAAATGGAGATATGTACCTTGCTTTATCACTCTTATGTGTGTTTTTGTACGTAAACTGATATAGTTTTAAATGTGTGGCCAGATCCAGTAGAGAACATTTACCATCTGTACAATGTGTACCTGCATGTTTGTGCACTCTGGTTACATTGGCCAAAACCTTGCTTTCTCACTCTTGATATCAGTCACTGGAATTAATGTGTGCAAGTCCAGAATTTATATAGAGTAAAAGTACCATGATTAGGGCATAAAAACTATTTGAGTTCCTGATTCAAGTTATCAGCTGATCTCAATTTTGCAATAATCTTGATACCACTAACTAGTAAGCTGATATGAAAGAATTGACTAATCTTGATTAATGTTAATTTTTACTTATGCTAAAATATTTCTATTGTATAAATTACCATTAGTTGAATGAAATTGAATTAACGACAAACAATAGCGAATTTATGAATGAAAGTTAACCAGTGTTAATGAACACTGGGCCTTATGTAGTTTATGATAAACAATGCATTACATTTACTGTAAAGTGCATTCCCGATGGCAAACAAACTAAAACCACCGTGCTGACTTTTTAGCACACCATTAATCTCTCAGCGTTTACTTGCTCACTCTCCCACATTAAAAAGACACACTCCATGTCAAGTGGTTTCTTACCGGCTCCTTCCTCCCGACCACAGAGAACCACATGGTGCTGCGCTCCGGAGTCGAGAATGAACTGAGGAATCAACTAATAGCGGTCCAGGAAAACTTATTCAACTCTTTCAAAAGCAGGCAGGTCTACTGAGGAGCGACTCCCAGGCTACATGCTAAACACAATATGCAAATATCTGAAGCCAGAGTAGGAAATACCACATCCAGACTGTTATGTAAGAGAAACGACTCCCACGACTCACTAACAGTTAGGTGAAGTTCTAGCAGTGCTCCCAGCTGTGTCCCAGCTCAACACCGGTACAAACCGCCTCTCCTCTTTAGATCCTCCCCTTTGTCCCAGAGCATGCCTTACACCCCTTTCTTTACTCCTCCTTTCCTTCTCCTCCCATTTTTCACTCCTTCCCTCCCTTCTTTTCCTCTGTTCTACCTCTACCAAACTTTATGCTTCCTCGGAGACACTCACAGATGAAAATAGAAGCAGTAAAGGGAAGGTTTTGCAATGAAAATGAACAGTTCCTGTTAACCCCCTTCTCCTCCCACTACACCTCCCTTGCTTGCCTCTTCTCTGTCCCTGAACCTGACACACATCTGGTGGGAAAAACGCTCTTCAGTCCACCAAAAGTGGTGAAACACAAGCTACTGAACTGCAACTGTCTGTTCCATATAACCCACTAAAAAAAATCCCAATTTGAAAAAGAAAGAAATATTTATTTGCACAGTAAAATTGTAAACTGGTCCATGTTGGATCTGAAAGCACTTTCTAACAGCATATTAGTCATACTAGTAAGTTTAGAGTATAAACAAAACCTTCATTTGCAATGTTGACATCGAAACTAATGAAACGAATCGAAACTTTTTTATGCTTGACAAGCGCAACTGGTGGAGTCATGCAAAACATTTAATATTTTAGCCTATTAACTGTGCTGTAAACTCCAACATAAAAGACTGCATTTTGTAAAAGGGGTGACGACCAAGAAGACATTTCCTACTGCGGAAAGCAGCAGACTAGAACAGCGCTCAGTCCGACAAAGAAAGAGAAAGATTTGCTAATGGCTCCATTTTGTATTTGAATGTTTGACAAGCACACAGACCAGCTTGTGACTGAATCAAACAAAAGCATATCCTCTTGAAAGGACATCCCTGTTATGATCTGAGCCTAGGAAACCATGCCCCACCTTTACTTCCCACTCAGAATATAGCACCCACCAACATCAGAAACCAAAAACCAATCCTCAAAAAGTTAAAATTGTTCTCATTAACTGTGCCAAAATAATCAGATCTAGTTCTATGCCAAAACCAGATGCCCTCCTCAAGGATTTAGGGTTTCATTCACTTACTCTCTAGATCAATTTTTATCACTGCTACAGCAGTCAGATCCATGCAAGATGATCACAGACTTTGAAAGTGGTGTAATATTACACAATAAACATCACGAAAAAGAAATAAAATAATCAGTTCTTACCTTGGCCGCCACAATACTGAGGCCCATCCCATTGTGTTTCTTCAAAGTCACTGTCGCAATTTCCGGTTCCTTCTGCATTGGCTGTAGAGAGAACAGACAGGTGATTTAACTTGGGGGGGAAAAGTCACTATTGTAACTTCAGCTATAGGTCCACGCTGCGTCTGGTGGCCGTTCCTAGAGCAAACTGAGCTAAGAGGAGGAGGAGGAGAGAAAATTAGGGAGGTTCTGCCACTGCTGGTTCTCAGAGCACAGCCGACCGCAGAGCGAAATGGCGGGCGCTGGAGACGAGTCAAGAATGAAAGCCACATGCGTCGGCTCCAGAGTGCATCAGGCCTCAGTGGGCTTGCTTACGCACAGGCAGGGCCTGGGAGAAAGAGAACAGCTTTTCGTGCCATAGCCTCTCCTTTAGCGAGCCCCAGTGCGTAAATGGTGCACATGGCATGCATTCATTGTACAGGGAACTTTAGCTATGCTGCCAGTCCGCATTGTTGAGTACAGCTTGGGGGGTGAGAGCAGAGCTGGTTTAAAGCACAGTGGAGCTTTATGAACACTGATGGGTAATGCAAGGAAACTCCTTGGGTTCCTTTGGTAAGGTTTACAAAAGCAACAGACCAAGCTTTTTTAGCTTTGTTAAAGCATGTTTCCTTCGAAAAGGATTTTCTGGCATAGCTATCTTAATGAATGCATAGACTACTAGAATCACAACTACAACATTCACCAAAACCAGTGTCTAAATACCCATTTTGCTATTGGACAACATTTTTTCTGGCCTATGCTTCATTGCTGAAGCTTCAAAGATGCTTCAAGCGATCACTTGATAATAAACATATTTTTTTATCTTTAAAATGTGTGGTAATGCACAGTACATCCAGAAAATGGGATGGCTGTAAGAAAGGGATGTGGGAGTGGGTGGGTTGGTTTGGCACACGATCAAGATGCGTTCATCAGATTTCTGTGGTATTTAAATGTGTTCTGAGCTCCAGCTCTGTCTGCTGTAGGGCGGACAGACATTATGTAAAAAAAATTAAAAACAAGATTATGACATTACGTAAAAAAAAAATCCCTTATGTAAAAATACGAGAGACAGTAAAAACAGACTAATTACAGGGGAGGAGGAGCATTTAAGGGCTTTGTGTGTTCAGGTTAAGGAGAAAGATATCATTTACAGTCAGTTCTTGGGCACTATGGTCAAATATTGCCCTCTGTGGTGTAACTAGTGTTGGTTGGAATATAAGAGAATGTTAACTTGACAGAACACACTCTATCAACTGACATTAAATATTCCCTGGTGCCGTTTTGCAAATATCTGTTTAGTATTTGGGTTTTATATTAAAAATGAAAATGTAAAAAATTCAAATTCAAATGCAAAATTCTGTTTTCTGATGCCCTCAAAGACAAATCCATCTACAAATCTACCCATACATCCATCTATCTATCTATCTGGCATAAAAACTTACCAGTTCTGACGTGTCAGCTGAGAAGTGACTATCGCAATTAGCTCCTTCAAAATAGATGGTCCAAGTTCCTGGAGAGCGTGGATGAGGTGTCAATCGACAAAAACCTAGAGGAAACGAGCAGATCAGAACACATCCACTAAACGTTAAAACTTTAAATCCACTGGTCTCTCACGGTCTTTGTCACACACCTGTAAAAACACACTCTCGCTCTCTTGCAAAAACAAATAGACTGCTGAACACAACCTTAACAAACCACATTCCACTAACATCACGTCAGCCTTAAACAAACAAAGACAACAACCTCTGATTCACCATCCACCTGATACTTATTGTGCACACCGCAACTGACATCAAATGCTCTGAAACTTATTCAGAATGGCAGCACTCTGTTTATCATCCATACCTCTCTGGCAAAGTGGCTCTAGGAACTCTTGGAATCCGTTGGGAATATTCCGCACCACGTCGCATGAGTAGCCATCCTCGGGCAGTAGGAAAGGCAGCTGGAGGTCAGGGTCCTCTTCAAGCTGTACTTCCCGCCCATCGCTTCGGGCCAGTTCGTCCGCCGTGTTCTCGGCCACAGCCACCACGTGATCAATCAGCTCCTGTGAGCATGAAGGGGACAATGATCATAATGTTACATAAGAACTCTAGTAAAACTTGACATGCTGCTGCTCTTCTCCTCCATCTCTGATTTGCTTTGAAGAGCGAGTTTTGGAAAGATGGGGTGCATCTAATTTAGTCTGGGAGATGTTCCAGAACAGCTAACATCAGTTACAGCACCTTTTACAGTAACAAGTTTAATATTTCACATCAAACAAGAAGGTCACATTATGAGAAACCCTGAGGTTAGAGGAAATAAGCAGAGCTACTGTGAAAGTGCAGAACACTTGGTTTGGTTTATCTCAAAAAGGACACGTGTCATCAGACCAGGACTACACAGCCAAAATGAGACAGTTCACTCACAGGAGGAATGTAGGGTTCATCAGGAGCGCAGTGGTAGTTGCTCAGCAGAGCGTTGAGCTGCAGAGAGTTGAGCTTGAAGCAGGTGTTGTTGATGTTCTGCACATCTTGCACGGAGTATTTGTCCATGGTGAGGAGGGTCGTTGCCTAGAGAGACAAGGGGACAGTTACTGGTTTATAGTCCATCTAACTAGGACAGAGGGTTTTAAAATTTCAGGCCAAGTGCCACCTTCGTTTAAACTAAAACATCCTAGAAGTACTATGTAGACATAGTCTCTCCAAGAAAGAATATAGTCTATGTATTAGCATGTTATACAGACAAATCTATATTAAAATGGTATATATTACAAATAAGAAAAAGTCAATAAAAAAAAATATATAATATTTAATTTTAATAAACATACTATTACCACTAGTAGTTCTACTACTACTAATAATGACGTCTTTTAGTATTGTATATGTTCACCACAGGTTTCTACAATAATACAGTTATATGTATATAGTTTGTTTGCACTAAATTTGCTGTTGGGAAAAATAAAACCCTCTCAATTCGTCACTTGACAGCAAAGTCAAATTTCAAACATCATTTTTTTTTTTTTTTTTAAGAGTTCTTCGGTGTTATAATGTTCTACTAGTTCTAAAGCTTCAGTTTCGGAACTTTTCACACTTAGTAACACATACAGCTGTGCTCTCACCACAGTGCAACAGTGAAAAGAGACCCCTCTCAAACAGTGTTGCGTTCCGAAGGTTGTTTAAACGACATACGTAGGGCTGCATGTCGTTTAAAATATTGCGGTATTTTAAAAATTAATATTGTAAGAAAAATAAACATGGTATTTTGTATGAACCGGTATACCGCCCAGCACTACTAAATTGCTAAAAGGTGTCTGTAAGGGATTGGTTAGAGTGCAGTAAACATAATTAGTTTAGCCTCTAGCTTAACTATAAATGCAACTCTGTGAAAGATTGGTGTATATATCTGCATGTGGTACCTGGACTATGCGACTTAGGTGGCAGTCTGCGGCCAGCTCTAAACCCTGTTTCTCAGCCCACGCCTCGATGTGGCTGAGCTGCTGTCGCAGGATGGCGCCCCAGTAGTGCGAGCACAGGCCTGAGTCAGCCTCCGTCACCAGCTTGTTAAAGAGCCACATGTTGATGAAGTGGAAGAGCTGCGAAAAAAGCTGAATGGTGAGGGCCGCATTGACACGGCACCGCCGCAGAAGAGACATGGCGCCCGTTAGCGTGTGCAGAACGTCCTCTGTGGAAAAGTGGAAAGTCAGGGCCTTTAATGCAATATAAACAATACCATCAATTCCTTTATTTATTTTACTTGCAATTATAATGGTGCAATGTTGAGAACTAGCCCTATTAGCTGGAACAGATATTAATACAAAAGGTTGAAAAACATTTAAAATACATGTTTTTTTAATATTCTCCTTGAACGCATGTTTTTTTTTTCTTTTTGTGGGTGGTCCCTGATGTGCATCACATTGTTCCTTGTCAAAGGAGTTAGGAAACACTCTTCTAGAGAACTAAAAGCACTGCTAAATTGCTTAAGATGTTTTGCATGGTTCTGGTTCATTTCAGCATATTTCTGTGTTGCTTAATATGTTGATACTGCTTTAGTCAAGAGGGCATGTTTGTCCATTTGTCCAAGTCATTTAGTTGAAATAGACTTGTCTTGTTAAGACTACTTAAAATTCTACAATGCCCAAGACAACAAAGAAATTAAGATGTTGTAAGTTCCTGTAAAGGGTAGAATAGAACTTTGGGTAGAATATATCTGCTGTTTAGTTTCAAAACCACCACTAGGTGGTCCCATATAACTCTTTCAATTGTGATTCTAACTTTTGTCCTTTAACAAAATCCACTAATCTACTCATCTTTATACATGATAGACGGAAAACTGCATCTGTTGATGAATCTTGCACAGTTACTAAACTGAACTAAAGCAATACTGAACTGACTTGAGCTGAATAATGACACCATTGCCTTAGAGCAGCTTTACATGGCAGAATTTGTTTATTCCTTTATCAGTTTATAACCTAAAGCTGCTCTTTATACTGTTTTATATAAAGCACTATATAAATAAAGGTGACTTGCATCTGAAAACATGGGACTGGGTCTCTGCTCACCTATCTTGGGCCTCTGTGGGTTCTGTTCATCGGGATCTTCCAGGAAAGCTGGCATGTAGTTATTCAGATCCGACTGCAAGCAGTGCACCAGGTATCTGCAGGAACACACATTATTTAGCGTCCATATATCCGCCATCAAGGGCCTAAAGGAACTTCCTGAAGAATCCCACAGTAAATCTGAGACCTGGCCGCTTCACAAACCGCACGACCTGCACAAAAGCGCAGTTGTTTCAGCTGGTCATTCGAGTGCTTAAAGGAAACGGAGGCGCTCCGACGTCCGACCACATTGTTTGTGCTGAAAACCGGCCCCAGGACCGTAACTCTCTCTCATACACCCAAACTACAGCTCAGCCAGTACAAGCCAGACCCAGAACATTCCTTACATTCAGCACATCCTACCGCCTGATAATGGTTACAGAAACACAGTATGAACTTATTTTACAAATCACTTTTGTAATTGACCAATTACGATTAAATGGATTGTTTTCACATGATATGTAAATAGCCCTGAAATTTAGCTAGAATTTAATATTTAAAGGTCAAATTTGCATTTAATTTAAATACATACATATTTATTTTATAACATTTTATATAACAAACATGTTTTTTGTTTTTAATTGAACATTTTATTTACTCTATATACACTACTTGGTTTAGCAAGGGGGGAAGTCGTGGCCTAACGGTTAGAGAGTCGGACTCGTAACCCAAAGGTTGCGGGTTCGAGTCTTGTACCGGCAGGGATTGTAGGTGGGGGGAGTGAATGTACAGCGCTCTCTTCCACCTTGAATACCACGACTGAGGCACCGAACCCCCACTGCTCCCCGGGCGCCGCAGCATAAATGGCTGCCCACTGCTCCGGGTGTGTGTTCACTGCTGTGTGTGTGCACTTTGGATGGGTTAAATGCAGAGCACTAATTCACATACATACATACATAGAATTAATCATTGCCCCGCACTATAAATTATATTTTAATATGAAATATGCTGCATAAGATCTCAGCTCACTAGGTTTTGAAGTATAGGTAATGTTTAGTGTAAATATCAGAGGTGGGGGACTCGAGTCACATGACTTGACTCGAGTCAGACTTAAGTCGCAAATTTTAGGACTTGCTTGACAAATATTCATAAAAGACTTGACGTTGACTTGATATTCATGACTTGAGACTTGACTCGGACTTGAGTTAAATGACTCGAAATAACTGGTCTTTCATTCAATAAATATCGGTTTGTTTTTGAACGCACCGCAACCTAACCAAGTGACGCAGCAGGCAAGCAGAGTGTGCACAGTATTGCCAACCTAGCGACTTCTTGGACAAACCTTATTTAGCTTCTGAGACTCGTCGGTACTGCCGCACAAGCGCGAGGTCTTGCTTTCCCAGCACGCACATCTCTCTCTCTGCGTCTGCTCTGTTCAGCGAGTGGCTGAGAGTAGCAGCGCTTTAGGTTAAACAAGATATTCTGTCACTTCTCTATTTTACATGCAAATATAGCCGAAATCACAGCACAGCCATTGTCTTTATCTTATGTGTATTTGATTTCATTAGACGACATCGTGATTATGAATCAGGATTTTTGTGCAGATTAACATCTAACGGAGAGCTGGTAGTCTTAATGGGCCGCATTTCAGTCTCGATTTCATATTCATCCCGTTGTCTTACAACAGAAACAGAAAAATATACCAGTGAAAACAGTTTTATTGAGAATTTGGCTGCATTAAAATACAGTTTGTGAGCACAATCAAATTTATTTTTTTGCAAGTGGAATGCATTATAAATGGTTATTCACTGTTTATAATGAAATGTCAGCTTTTTTTGACAGTAGCACTTAGTATATGCATGTGTACAGTACAGTGTCTAATAATTGGTCTTCAGTGTTAGACTTTGAGTGAAAAGCCTATGGATAGTTTATGGGGATGCATAAAAGAAAAAAAATCATACAGTTGCGAACCCAACCATGCATACAAAAAACAACAACAAAAAAACCCTCAAAACTTGCAAGCACAACCATGCACACTCATACGCATGCACACACAAATATTAATAAAACACACTCACTCAAATAACCTCTCTCTCTCTCACACACACACAAACACATTAATAATGTACATTATAAACAGGTGCAAGGGTTGAGTGATTCAATTAATATTTTTTCTTGTTGTTGTTATTCTTTTGTTAAAAAGGAATGATCTAACTTAAGGATGTGTTCATGTCCCATAAAGGTGATGCCTGTTTGAAGAATGCAATTTGGTGGCACAGAAACCATTTTACTTGAATTGTTTAATACTTTTTCATGGTTTTCTTCAATGTTTGAGGCATATTGAAACAGCTATACCTAAATACTTTTCATGCTTTTATGTTGGACTAATTTCAGTTACATTTACATCTTAGGCTATGTAGTTTAATTTTTATTTATTTTAGATTTTTATTGTATTAACAACTTTTATTGTATTTACACTTTTTGAGTATAAATGCATATTTCAAATTTTTGTTGTTGTTGCAAATAAAACTCCCATAGTCCATAACTACTGTAGTTTTAAGTTATTTTAATATATACATTCAGTTAAATCATCAAAAATGTGTATGACTTGACAGTGACTTGCTTGGCTCAAGCTACGACTTGACTTGAAATGCTTGACAAAAGCAGTGACTTGACTTGCTTGATTCTCATAAAAATTGACTTGGACTTGCTTGAGACTTGAAGGTTAAGACATGAGACTTAGGGTGCTTTGAACCAGAGTTCGATTGCTCCCCCCTCCCCCGCTGGACTGAGTTCATATTATTTTATTTGGGTCCGAACCGCGGTTCGTTTGCATCATCAAGCCAGCAGCCGTTTACCCCGTTGCTTAGTAACGACGGCGCAGGAGAAGGCGGCAAATGCATAACATTGCTCTCTGCTCTTTTATATATTTTCTTTTTTAAACCGTTCGTTTTGTGTACAAAGCTTCGGTACATAACGGCACTTACGTCTGTCTTACGAATGTACTGGAAATGCTCTAAAGAACGCTGAAGGCGAACAGAAATTAGATATACAGCTCTCTGTCTGCTACAGCTCTCTGTCAGTCACGCTCGTCAGAAAAGTGAGTGAAACGCACACAAACACACATTTTTATCAAATAATACGTCATTAATATCGGTTCACTTACGTGATTTGGTACGATTGTGTTCACATCAGCAGCGAACCCGACCGTACCGGAGTTCACATGAACCGTACCCCAGACCACCCTTTTTAAGCGGACTCGGGTACGGTTCGTGTGTGCGCACCCGAGTTCGGAAGACAGCGTTCACATTATCCAAACGAACCAAACTCTGACGTCAATTGAACCCGGGTGCGCACCAAAAGTGCTAGTGTGAAAGCACCCTTACTTGCAACTTGCACATGTGTGACTTACTCCCACCACTGGTAAATATGCATGTGCATGCAAACACTCACTTAAAAGCCATCTGAACCAGGTGAGCAAGGACATCCTGTGCATCTAGCGTGATGCGACTCAGATCCTTGTCCTGTTTGATGAAGTTCAGCAGCTCTGAGGCGTTAGCCATCCAGAAGGCCAGAGCCCCGGCGATGTTCTTCTGTTTCTGTAATGCACAGAGATGGGCCGTTACACACAGCTAAAGCAAAACAATCCGACGTACAAACTACAAAGAAAAGAGTTACAGCCATGAGAAGCACTGAGTAGCACTCCCGGGATAGACATGTGCCTCTGTCCAACCCTCCCAGCCTCCAACAACCAGTCACCGCGTCCAGACAGAGTAGAAATCATTCACATGTTAGAGTTAGCTCAAGCTAGGCACGACTGACTGGGAAGCTGCGGTGACTGGTTGCTCTGGATCCCACATCCCTGCAACACAGAGTAGGGATACACACGGTCCAGAACTACCGGACCTCTGTGTATACCTGCACACGCCTATCCCACGTGACGACGACAGCAACCCCCCGCCCGACCCTCCCGAATACGTCATACTGGCCACAGGACGCATCCATAAGAACAATGACGTTAACCACAGACATGAAGTCAAATGAAAAGGAAATTAAAAGTTTCCAAACAAAGCAAAAGAACATGGGGTAGTCTCTCATCCACACTGAAGTGCAGTAAGCAGAGGTCAACAATGGAAGATGCCGCAATCAGAGTTTTTTTTTTTTTAGTATCACATGGTCCAGGTTGAGTCGTAATGAGGGGTTATGAACAGATTGCGTCCAGCTGTAGGAGGAGGGATTACTTAGCTGGCTTGGGTTGTTTGCTTTCTGTTATGGGGGGATAAAAGAGGCATGGAAGACGGAGCCAAGCCGAAAGATAGAACAGAGAGAGAGAGAGAGAGAGAGAGAGAGAGAGAGAGAGAAACAGGAAGAATGAGACGCCTCCCTAACAGTGCGAATTCCTACCTGATCACCTTCAGCAATCTCCTGTAGAGATAGTAGGTGTGGGGGAAGAGGGGGTGGGGGACAGACATCCGACAGGACAGAGAGAGAGACTGTCAACAACAGCCATGGCATGGACAGAATTCACAGGCATGTAAACACAGACATTCACACTCACACAGGACAGGTCACATCATCATCATCATCATCTCGCACTCACTGCCGTACGGGACGTCAGAGTCATCTAGAGCAATTTTACTCCATTTTATAATTAATGCTGCAGTGTAAAGATACAGCTGCTTTTCTGTGATGCCAAGGATGACATTTACAGGCCACTAGATAAATGCTCTTTTTTAACTTCAATAAGAAATATTTCTTAAACACCATATCAGCATATTCAAATTATTTCTGTAGGATCATGTGACAAGACTGGAGCTTCATGATGCTGAATATTCAGCTTTGCATCACAATAATATATTACGATATTATAATATAAAGCAGTTCTGTTAAATTCTAATAATATTACTATTTTACTGTATTTTTCATCAAATAATGCAGTCTTGGTAAGAGACTACTTTCAAACATATTTAAAAATCTTTTGAACAAAAGTGCAAATGTGCTAGTGAAATCATGAAAGGTAAAAAAAATAATAACTTGTGTCTATAATAACTAGCAATAACAAGCAGCAAATGATGGTTATTTTTGTTTTAAGGGAAAACTATGATTTTAAAACTACTGATGTTAACAATCAGGATTTGACTAATGACAAACTTACTACTAAACATTTTGATCTGAGTAGATAAAAAGACACTTCAAATAACAAAAAAAAAAAATCTAAATTCCAAATATCCTAATGTCTTGCTGCCAAGCCTTAAATTAATTCCCTCTCTTTCTGAGATTATGTTTCTTGTTTTCTACGTTTAGGTCCTTAAACATGTGATGTGAGGCTTAAGATTTTGGATTTACCAAAAATTCAGAAAAAGAAAATCAACATTTAAATGGATTATGACACTAATGCTGTGTTTTTATTTTTTTTAAAGAGACAGATTGTATCCATTTATATAAACGACAGTCTGTTTTCTCATTTTAGATGCTGAACTAAAGCAGTGGTTCTCAACCTGCGGCCCACCATGCTGAACACACAAAAAAATAACTTTCAGTTTTAACATTAATTTAAAAATGTACTAAACAAATATAAGCTATAACGTTTTTGTTATGTAAAATAATTTTGTTTTTCATATATTATTTTCAGACATGAGCAGACCTGCACTCACGTAACTAACGTTACGCATTTAACGAACACTTACAAGCACGCACTTTGGCAGAATTCAATTCAAATAGTCATCAGCAACCATTAGTTCGGTAAAATTGAGCATCAGAATGGACAAATTTGTTATTAAGGGAGAAAAACGAAATGTGCAAAATGCCAGTGAAGGAACACATACAAACAAGAATAGTCGCAGTATCAGCAGTGAAGGTAGGAGAGTGCTGGATTTTCAGTTTGCCCTGGGTGGGCCACTCAAAACCCGCAGGCGCTGACCAAATAAGGTAAATAAACAGAGAGCATGTGGACCTCATTTCTGAACTGTAAAGAGGCGTTTACATAGTTATTTGTGGTGAGCAAATGATAGAAGTGAACATTGGCGATCCAATGAGGCCGTATGCAGTGACTTGACAGTCGAGAAAAAAAAGTTTAACTTTATGCAAATGAGCAACGACTCTTCGTTCATGTTACTGTGAGCGATTTCACTGTTCTGTAGAATTTGTGTCTGCCCATAATTTGTAATCATTATCAGTGAGTGTGATTCATGATTCACTGAGTTTCATGCACTGATAATCAGTCTCGTTCATGATATTTACAAGAAAGTAAATAAGGAACTGAACACTTTTATTCAGCAAGGGTGCATTAAATCGATCAAAATTGACAGTAAAGACATTTGTAATGTTACAAAAGATTTTGAACTTTCTATTCATCAAAGAATCTTGAAAAAAGGTATCAAATGGCTTAAACACAAAAGCTTTCAACACTGATAATAATAATGGTTTCAAGCAGCAAATCTGCATATTAATTCTGAAGGATTTCTGAAGACTGTAGTAATGGCTTTTGCCATTAAATTACATTTTAAAACATACTCTAATAGAAAACTGAAATTTAGAATTATAATAATATTTCACAGTAAGATTGTTTTATTGTATTTTTGATCAAATAAATGCAGCCTTGATGAGAATAAGAAACTTCTTATTCTTAAAAAAAAATCTTTCCGACCCCAAACCTTTAAACATTAATGTACATACAAACACTTCTTCTTTCAGAAGCAACAAGAAAATCTTGTATCGCGAGAGAAAAAACTCGTTCTAATTTTACATATCAATATGGCAACTTGGTGACAATCGGAAGCTGTTGAACCAAGCGCTGCTGGGAAAATATGGTGCATGAATCAGGTAAAACAAGGTAGGTACAGAGACACACACACACACACACACACACACGTACAGTCATCCACACACAAATAAACACAGGGGAAACACTGAGTGCAGTAGTTTAAGCACTGTTTGCTGAGGCAATGACCTGAATCGATGAAAGCAGAGTGAAACAAGCTTTAACACTACAACTACAAAAGCATGTATAATGTAACTTCACAGACAAATCTCTACATCAGAGCTACAGCGATATGTCTAAAGTATAAATAATACAGTTTTAAAATATAATAAAGTCACAATTTCCACTGTAAAAAATAATTCAGATCAATAACTGCTATCAGAAGATTATTCTAGTAAAAATGGCCAACACCCACCTGGATAACTCCTTCCATCATGCTCACCATCTTGTTGACAATGGCGATGACTTTGTGTGTTCGCTCAGAGGGGCTGATGTCGGGCCGGTATTGGCTGGACATGACATAGCGGCAGGTCATGTACAGCACATAGGTGGGAGACAGCTTGAAATGCACCGTTGAGCTGTTGGTGTAGTTAATGATGGCAGACAGGAAGGCATCCTCGGCTATGGGAGGGAATCATGGGATAGAGGAAGCAGAGAGAGTTTAAATCGGGATGGACCAAGAAGCTCTGATGAATGACGTTAGCATGCAAATTTATTTTACCATTAAAGTTGCACATGCATTTTTTTTTTTTTGAGCCTGTCACCTGAGCTGTCAACTCCATGTTACTGATCACACTATATTATAACTGACAGTGAAAAGCATGTGGAAACATCTACTGTAGTATAATAGTTCATTACAATATAATTCATTTTGCGAAGTGATGTTTGAAAACATGTATGTGGATCTTCTTTTATAAGCTGCTCAGCCATATCAGATTTGAAGACTGAAACTAAAATAACACATAAAAACAACATGACCATAACATAACCATAACTTAAAATAACAAGACATAACACAACAAAACAAACAACACATTTCATAACGCAACATACCTATAGCACATCATAACACAAAACATGACTATGATGACACATAACACTCATAACATAAAACCATAACATTTCAAAACATACAACACATAACATGACACCACATATTACCATAACACATTTCATAACATGACACATAAGACACAACATACAACCACAAGACAAAGTAACAGCACATAACAGGACTTTTTCATCTTATTTTGCGATGCTTTGAGCTAAATATGAAAATTGTAATGTACAAATGCGAATGAAATATATAGTGGGTGATTATCTGCTCTGGGTTGTGATGTGCCAGCGGTACTAGGCTCAGTCCATCCATGCAGCTACACAATAGGGATGAGCGGATCGATCCTTAAGTATCGATACTTTCGATACTGATGTTGTATCGAAAGGATTGATTCTCACATAAAAATAGCGATTCTAAAGTGCATTTTTTTAACCATTCATTAATTTTATTTACTTATCAAGAGATGTGATGCATAAAATAAGCTTCTAAATGGAAAAATAGACTATATTAGCGAATAATTGTGTTTCCATTTCTCCTGCTCATCAGAACACACGCAAATGCTGAAAGACAGAACCAATCAATCACAGACAGCGTTCGCTGCTGACGCATGGCTCACAGTGCTTGTTCAAATAGGGCTGCGTTTCCCAAAAGCATTAGAAGCATAAGTAGATCTTAAGAAACCATTGCCACATTATTACATTACATAACATTGTTACTATATATAAAATTAATTCAGAAAAATGCATCACGGTTTCCACACAAATATGAAGCAGCAATAATAATAATTGTTTCTTGAGCAGCAAATATTAGAATGATTTCTGAAGATCATGTGACACTGAAGACTGGAGTAATGATGCTGAAAATTCAGCTTTGATTAAATTACATTTTAAAATATATTAAAATAGAAAATAGTTATTTTTAGTTGTTATATTTCTCAGTATTGCTGTTTTTACAGTTTTTTTTTGTTTTTCAAATAAGTGCAGCTTTGGTGAGCATGAGACTTAAAAAATATTACAAAATCTTACTGACCCCAAACTTTTGTGTACATGTAATATTTATTTTAAATTGGCTAGTTTGTGCAAGTAAATTTATTTAAACTGGTTGTCAAAAGTTCAAATGGACTGTGTTATGTTTTATAATTGCTGTTAATAAATCTGTCAGAAAAAAATATGCTTAAGTTTCACCTTTAGGGGTACAACAGCCAGGCAGCCTTTTACAAAAATTACCCATGGTTTTATTAGAGTAACCACAGTTTACCACATATTTGTAGTAAAGCTGCAGTAACCACAAATTTACCATGGTAATAATAATAATAATACATTTTAGTGCTTATGTAACTCCAAGTTTATTTTTCATGAGGTACCCTCAAAGGTGCACCTTTGTAACTTAGTAACCAGTTGTATGGTACTAATATGCTCCCTTTTAGGGGTATAGTTGCACGCTTATGTAACTCCAAGTTTATTTTTCATGAGGTACCCTCAAAGGTGCACCTTTGTAACTTAGTAACCAGTTGTATGGTACTAATATGCTCCCTTTTAGGGGTATAGTTGCACCTTTGAGGTTACTGCCCCAGTAAAGGGCTAAAATACAATTATAGTATATTTTATTTCTGACAGTGTAAACAAAAAAGGCCTATGAAATCTAAAAAAAAACACGGCTTTAAAATCTAATATTAAGTGAGTATAATTACTGAATATATATTTTTAATAATTTAAAAGATGAGTTTAGTTTAAAAGTATCGGTATCGACGATACTGGGCTTGAAAATATCGGTATCGGATCGAAAATAAAATAAGAGGTATCGCCCATCTCTACTACACAGAAGGAAACTGCTGGCTTCTGGCATAATACTCACTTCTGCCACCTAATGGCATGGTGGGACAATTAAATATTCTATTAGCCTACCATTTCTGCTTCTTTTTTTTTTTTTGGACAGATATATTTTCGACAGACAAATATAGATGAATTACAACATAATTTATCTTGAACTGACTTAATGATAAAAAACAGTTTTCTTGCAGTCATCAATACTTCCCATCCATTGATCTATGAGGCAGCAAACCATTAGTGTTATTAATTATTCTATAATTAGCTGGCTGTTTTGCTTTATAATCAGCAGAACCAATAAAAGAAACTACATGAAGGCATCAACCAGATCAAGTGGAAATACTATGTTGTGTCTGCAACACCGGGAAAAAGCCAATGACAAAACATGAAAACAAACAGAACATTAAAAAGCCGCCACACACCAGACAAATCAAATGACCCAGTTCAGATCAGATCGCTGAAATTAAACCAGCACAGATCAATTGGTTTTGCTTTGCACATGGATGTGGTACTCACAGTTTTCCCTGAACTCGATGTTGGCCGGCAGAGTGAGTTCTGGGCCATCCTGGGACCTGCGGGGAAAGAATTGTTGCTCGATGAACCAGTTGAGATAGGACAGATTGACACCGCTGTCTACAGACGCCCACCGCTCCAGAGACCCCGCTCCTGTCCTGCCGTTCAACATCCTGTCACAGATGCCAAACTGTGCTGTGTGTGTTTGAATGAGCATTCTCATCTCCACTGGATTATTAATGACAAGACTGAAGCCAGGTGAGCGGAGGGACCAGGTGTCTCAGGTTCAGACAGAGGAAGAGGGTTAGGTTACATATAGTAACCTGTAGCCGGCACTGACTCCATAGAGACGCTCGCTGACTGACAGCTGACGTGCACAAAACCTGCTGTTACTAAACAGAGAATGTAACTAACATTGCATTGCTTTCTGTGCCATTAATTAAATCATTTGTTTTCACATTTTCTACTCTACCTGCAGAGGAAAATCCACAGAATTCTTAATGATGCATTTTCAAGATCATCCAAATAAAAGATAATAAACAAAAAGATTACAACAATAATGAATTGTGAAAAATTAGGGTAGGATCATTTACTTATAAATTCTAACAAAAGACAATAAATATTTCACTTTTTTTTTTTTAAATTGCAAAATAAAATGTATTAAGATAATAATATTTTATTTTTAATTTAATGTCATTAATTTTTTAACCGTAATAATAACAACAATAATTTATTATCATTATTATTACTACTACTTTCTAAAAAAAAAAAAAAATTATTTTGATTATTTCCTCTTTCTTTTGGAAAATTATGAACACAACCCAACAGGTTGCTTTTATTTTCTGCCCATTATTCTGCCATAATAATTAAACGTGTTGTGAAATTAAATAAGGTAAAATGTGTTAATAATGCTACACTCATATTTGTAACTAAAATAATAATTAGTCAAAAATATTTACATTTTACTTGGAATGTCAAGGTTAACTATTATACACACACACAGTTCTGTGTAAATCTGAAAAAATGATCAGAACCCTAAAGGCTGACAGGTCAAAACAGACATTTAACAAAAATCATGTATCAAACTGAATAAAAACACAAATAAACTTTTCTTTCTGAAATACATGGAATTAATTGCAATTAAATATTTTAAATGTTTGATGGCCTCAAATCTCAACATGTGAACGTCAAGAATTGAAATTTTTCAGAAAAAATACAGAACAAAAGTGAAATTTTCAATTTGGCCCAACTATGAAAATGAAGCACACAAAGTCAACAAAATTCTTACCTTCCGTCATGTTTGTTAAAGTCCTGCTGTTCTCCTCTAATCATGGGTTTCACCAGGCCTCTTTCACTGTTTCCTGAACGCTCCATCTCCAGCTTCCCTGAGCTCTGAAACCACCAAATATCCCATATCAGAGACCCATCACAGCACACACAAACACATGCACAGAGAGCCGAAAGAAGCAGGCAGATGTGGCACCTTGCTTGTAGGGAGAGCGGAGCCACTATGAACGTCCCCGTGAAGGTCAAAGGTCGTCTCTGGGACACTTCTGAGACAGAGAGAAACACAAAAAGGGGGGGGGTGTTAATCATTTCAGCAGATGACAAGGAAGTAAACAGTACCAGTGGCCAAACAAACAGACACGCACAATATAACCACCTGCATATGCTCTAAAACACACAATTACATAAAACCTGAGCTGAATGGAAAGTCAAACAAAAGCAGCGGCCCACAGCCTCACAAACACCCGAATACATTTGTGTGTGTTTATGAGCACTGAAGACAATCAATAACGCGCCGGCATTCTAACCAGACTAAATGAATGAGCAGAACCCCACAGCCTAAAGATACACCCGCACAGTGTTTGAACAAAATTACCATAAATTACAAAATTACAAGGCTACCGTGTTCAACAGCTGTCAAACAGCTGTTTCCAGCTCTTTGCGTTCAGATGTAGAGACATAATATATTCAGGTATCATCTATACTGCAGCTTGGGAGTCATTTCCATGACATTCATTACATTTCTAAAGCTATAAACGCTTTAGGCCTACATATTAAATAACCATGTTGTAATATCCATTTTGGATAATCCAGTGAATTAAATACTTTACAAATGAAAAGTACAGTACTTTTTTAGGGAACTTGATGGACACAAACCAAAAGATATGATTATACTGATAATAAATTAAACCTGGCATCAATGCGAAAACAGCTTCACGTTATGTAACTCCAAACAGTACAAGTAACATTACAAAATGTAGAGTTCTGACTCTATTAAGCCACAAAAACAGCCTGTATTGTGATGTATTAATGCAACAAGTGACACTGGCAACCACAAACAACTTCATTTCTTAAATTCAAAACATGTCCTGCTCTGAATTTTCACTTTACTTGAACTTTCTCACTCTTACATGCAAATCACGCAGCTGTCCTACTCACTAATAGTACAGATTTATCTACTGCGGTATTAATGCTAAAGCAAAGTGCAAAGCAGCAAATCAGCATATCAGAATGATTTCTGAAAAATTCAGCTTTAAACACAGGTTTCTGAACAAACATACATGTTTAATTAAAGTTCAAACAACATATTTTAATTAGCATTTTATGATTAGATAAACAAAAACACAGTACTGTTAAAAATCAAAATTAAGCAAAGTTTATAGGAAACAAACAAGCACAACAAATCTTCATAGTCACCTGATAACTCAAGTGGAGCGTCTATGCTCAATGAAACGCGTGTAAAATGTGGATGAACTCACCAGGACAGCTCTACACTGCTCTCGCTCTGATATGTTTAACAGCGGAGTACGGTGAAGAGTTTGTGTTGGTGGGAGCGTCACTACACTCCTCCCTGTCTCAAACACACGGTTTCTTTCAGAAATGACATTGGGACACACCCCTCTCCAACCCACGCTGATCAGATTATAGAGTCTATCTGCGCCTGTGGCCAACATAACCTTCCGCTCACCCTCTCCCTGTCACTCTCCCAGCCTCTTTTCCAACAGTTCTCACAGTAAAGGCTGCATTTAACACTAGAAATCTGACAGGACGGTCACTGCAGAGAAAAACCATGTGCAAAACCTAAGAAACTCCTGTTGCCATGGCAGCAGAGCATCCCATAACACAACTCGAACTGGTCGGAACACACACACACACACACATGCATCATAAAGTGAGAACAAACAAACCAGAACACGCACGCAAGACACTTAGACATCGAAATACTGCCATCTAATGGCTCCACAAGTACAAAAAACCTCATGAGCAACTGTGTGTGTGTTTTTCACTTTTGAAGAATTTTGACATCAACTTATAATGTTATTCAACCAAATAAGAGGCATTATTAAGTTATTTCATAATCACTTTCAAGTCTCACTCCATCTCTTGGAACTAAACCATCGGTTTTTGCTACTGTACCTTTAAGATAACTATTTTCACCCAGATACTGGTGTCAAAGCTTAATGAATTATCTGCTCTGGTCCCGTGACATGTGTAAACTGTGTCTGTAAAGAACCTGCATATCACTAGCGCTCTTATTAAAGCCTGAATTAAACCTTCAAAAAACTTTCTATTAATCACAAAATCATGACAAAAAATATGACACAAACAGGCTCTCCTAAACTGTCCTTAAATGTAGCACTGGAAAGTTAGATTCATTTAGGTGAATCGCATCATACAAATGATTCATCTGAATCAAGTGATTTAAAAGAATGATTCACCGATTCATTCCATGATCTGCAGAAGTCGGAGGCATTTTATACATAATTTTTATAGTTAAACATGGCTGTTCAACATGTTTTTGACTCAGATAAAGAAACTAAAGTGTTTAGTTGTTAGTTGCATTTAGTATCAATTCACCTGTTCATTCTCATGCTGTCATCCTAGCTATGATCCTTTTATGAAGATATTTAATATCTTCAATGTAGTTAGCTACTTTTTGCTAGTAGATTTAAATACAGCTAATGACTTTTTTAAAAAGTAGCTTGGCAAGCTATAGTTTTCAAAGAAGCGTCCCCATCACTGCGGCTAATGTTACACAGTACAACAGATGGTTCATTGTGCTGCGCTGCCACAGCTGGTCAATACACGATCAGACAACTGTATGAGTTCAAATCTTTCTGGACACACTCAATGTGATTCTTATCAGGTTATATTTGCTTTTCAGCTCTATTTGGGTATAAAATATGACTCACCCTGATTTGTGTCTGCCCTTCATCATGGGCCCTGGGTCTCTCTTGGACATGCTGTGGTCATAGCTGGGGTCTACGAATTTGAAGACGTGAATGGCTCCAAACTGGACCGTCACGCCGCTGCGCAGAACTGTAGTGTCGGAGATCCGCTGTCCATCCACGAACGTCTCAGCGTCCAAACTGACAGGGGTCACGGTCACAAGCCCGTCCGCATGCATCAGGTCACAGTGGTGAGGCAGAATCCCAGGCCCAAACAGCTGCGGTGCGGAAAAATCAGGGATGTGTTTTTAAACGTATTTTCACCATTCACTGTTCTACACTACTGCGCTGAAGACGTCATTTATGCGTTTTCCTTACTTGAATGCTTCCATCTTCACTTCGGTCAGATCCGACCTCAGTGAGGCTGTGCTGTAGTCGGTAAAGTTTGGGTTTATCCCTGGAGTCTGACCCATCTGCAGAGCAGCCGCAGAACAGTGAGACACACACATTTGCGTTTGTCTGCATTTCACGCACACTCGATTCAAAACACAAGCATGTGCACTCTTGCACAACCCATTAGTGTCACTTCTGTGCTTTAGGCCATGTAATTAAGAATATGCAAAACTACATGTTTCTAAATTCGTCTAGTCAATGGGCTAACTAAACTGCTGTGTAATTAGGCTATTTTCGATCCTGAACTTAAAGACGCAAGTCCTCCGAGAGGGTTTTCCAGGGTTGTACAGTATGCTAATTAAAGCACAGCCACTAAAAATATACCACCGTTCAAAACTCAGTGAGAATTTCAATATCAAAATCATTAATACTTCTATTCAGCAAGAACAGATTAAAATGATAATGTTATTCTTCTGAACTTTCTGTTCCTCAAAGAAACCAGAAAAAAATGATCACGGTTGCCACAAAATTATTAAGCAGCACAACTGTTTTTTAACATCGCTAATAATAAGAAATGTTTCCTATGCAGCAAATCAACATATAAGAATGATTTCTGAAGCATCACGTGACACTAAAGACTGGAGTAATGATGCTGAAAATTCAGCTTTTCCATCAGAGGAATAAAATGCATTTTAGAAAATATTTAAATAATAAAAAAATTGTTTTGTTTTTTATTGTAATATTTCACAATATTACCTGTTGTCATTGTATTTTTGATCAAATAAATGTAGCCTTGCTAAGCATAAGAGACTTCTTTCAAAAACATTTTAAAAATCTTACTGACCACTAGGGATGGTACCGAAACCCGGTATTTAATCGGTCCCGGGGCTAAATTATGAAAGACCGGAGTATCAATAAGCTCTGACGTTAACGGTTCTGCTATCGGTACTGGAGAAATTAAGAAAACACGCATACATTTATTATTGCTATATATACACATTATCTTGCAAATTCTATCTCACCAGAGCCGCCAGCTGTTTTTCAAACATTTGTCTATGATGCATTTTTGCTATTCGCAATTCAGAAGCGAGATCGCGCTCACGCGGAGGAGCTTCGGCACGCGCAACATGAAAGCCCTGTTTAATTGAAAAAAGCGCCATAAGCAAGTGGTCAGTCTGTCAGCTGACACACACTCCAGAGAGGGGTAAATGTGTCAATCAAATCTCAATTTCCAAGGCCCAGAGAACCCTCATGACCAAATACTACACCATATCTACACCGGACAACAGCACGTCACAATATGACAAAACCATAATTGTCCCATTATAATCAACAAAACAGTCTACACTAGAAGCAATTTGGTTGAGGAATGTGCAGTTTCTTTTTTCTCTCAGATTGACAGCTACTCCAACCATATTGTGTGTCCACTGAAAATAATTTTATTTACATAAGTGAACTGCCTGGTAATAATTTGATTTGGTATGACTCATATATTTGTTATATCACTCATGATGCATCTATAAAAAATATTTAAAAATTACTTAAAATATATATATAAGTATTTTATGAGTAAGTATTTTTCTTCCCTCTCTATATATTCTAAAACAATATAATGTAATATAAAATAATTATGATAATTATAATAATAAATTATATAAAATCATGTTAACTGAGTATATAAATCATTTAAAAATAGCAAAAATGCTAATTAATGTAATATACTGTAATATAATACATAAAACATGTTTATACACATAAATAACAATATATATAAATATATAAAGTAAATTTAGTATAATAAAAATAGTATAATAGTATATTAAACAAACAATTAAGTATAATAAAGTATAATATTAAACAAATTAATTATTAGAATATCATAGTTTTATCAATATTAAAATGTATTATAATAACATAGTATTTATTATATAATACATAAAATAAATACATAGTACATAGTATATTAAATAAAAAAGTCAAAATGAATAATATCAATATACCATAAAATAATATTTAAACAAAACTAATAATAAACCGTTAAAACACGTTTATTATTAGACAAAATAATATACAGTAATTGAATATAACAACAATATAATACAGAAAGTTTGTAGAAATAACTTATAAATAATAAGTTATAAAATAACTCATGCAAAGTACAATTTTTATACTAATGTTTTTTTTTGTTGTAAATAAAATAAAAGTCACCCAATTAATTGTTCCTGAAGTTATCACTGATTAGTTAGTGAACTTTTCGAAGTGACATGAAGCTTTAATGCTTTTTTGTCTTTGCAATGTGACGTGGGTTGCCTCTAGTATAGACACAGTGTCATTACACATCAGGAGAGTTCCTGCTCAACTCTTAGCAGTTAAAAAGCATTGGTTATAAACGCAGTGACAGGGTTAGTTGTGGCCGTAGCAGGGGGAGGAGCAGTATGCAAGCAGCAGTTAGACTGAGAGACAGCGTTAGTGAGGGTCAGATCTAGATGATGTGAATTTTCAACTCTAAAAAAAACAACTTGAGTGAAACTAAGGTATATTTTAAGGGATCTCACTAGCTGACTCTACAGCGGTCCAGATACTGAACTCATTTGTTGGCCATAGCTCTACTTATGCGTGAATGTCAGCGGGCAATCGGTGGGCCGCTCTTCACAGCTGTCACATCAGTGCAACTGAAACTCTAGTGCAGGCTTAGATCAACACAACTGATCCAGGAACAGCTCTGCTAGCATTCAATGACTCACAAAGGCCTCTGCTTCTGCTCTAAAGTTCCTGGAAAGAGGATGTGCTGTCATAGTGTGTGTTTGTGTGTGTCACCTGGGCTCAGTTCAACCAGGTAGGGCAGTTTCTCGGGAGGAATGGATCCGTGAGGCGGCCCCATCCTGTTGTCGGGTTTACGTCCTTTCCTTGGAGCGTAGTCTGGAGGACGCTTTTTCAGTTGGAATACTAAGGCCTCTGTGAAATTGACATAATAGCACATTAAAGTCAACAGGGGGCGGTATAACATGGTGTAAATGAAAGGCTCTTGTATTATACTTATTTAAATGCTTTAAGCATGTCAAATTAAGGCATAAATAATATAAAATGCATCTACACTACAGTTCAAAAGTTTGGGATCAATAAGATGTATTATTTTTTTAATAAATTTAAAATTAAATATTTCTATTTCAAATAAAAAAAAGTTTTTTCCCCCCACAGAAATATTAGGCAGCACATTTTCAACACTGATAACAAAAAGGGATTCTTGAGCCCCCAATCAGCATATTAGAATGATTTCTGAAGGATCATGTGACACTGAAGACTGGAGTAATGATGCTGAAAATTCAGCTGTGCATCACAGGAATAAATTATATTTAAAATAGATTTAAATATAAAACAGTTTTGTAAATCGCAATATTTCACAACATTACTGTTTTTACCGTATTTTTATCAAATAAATGTAGCCTTTGAGCGCAGAAAAACAAAACCAAAAAAACATCAACACCAAACTTTTGAATATTGAAGATGTTCCAAAAAGCTCCAGAATTTGTCCAAAAAAATGAGCTTAAGAAATGGCATGTGGCTGACCTTTATCGCTTGTCCAGTCTCTGAGGATCTGCAGAGGGCAATCCGTGTCGTCTAGTATGGTCTCCTTCACTGGTTTATCATTTGCATGAATCACCTGCACAAAGCGAACAAGCACACACTTTCAGAGTCAAAAAAATTCAACTTTATTACCCAAAGAACTAAAGTTTGATTTCTTTGGCAAAGCATGCTAATATTTCACAGTGGGCACTCCAGGCAGGCATTAGACACCTGTTTTAGTGACAGATACACGCTCCCTGCCACGATTTAACAGCAGCTTTATGGACGAGCTGTGTATGTAATTAAAATTGGCCAGAGTGATGGGAGAGGATATTACAATGCCACAGAAACTCTCAGTGTGATTGGCTGAGACAGCATCTGAAAAGAGCTGGTGAGAAACAGCGCAGACAGCCCAAGGTTGACCGTTTTTTACCAGCGATGTTTTCCATTCGCTGACAGCAGATTAGACCGGCCACTTCAAGCACTTCCTGCTCTCCTCCTCGTCCCCATGTATATCTCTATCTTTCTCTCAGTGTAGTGCTAAACGTGTGCAGGCAGGGCACCTTACAACTGCACACCTGCACACTTCAATTACTCTCAGCAGAGGTGAAGCAGATGTCAGCTCCTGGCTTTAATCTGGAAGACAAATCGTGCAGTGGCCTGGTGAAATATGTTGGATTTGATCACAGGAGGAGGGGTCCACGGAGAGAGCCGGATATGGCAGAGACGTTCAATCAGTTTAATAATTCTACAGCAGACCCACATGGTATTCTGAATAAACTTTCACAGATTACCACAGAATTGAAAGGTCCATGATTAATGATTATTTTACATGCCCTATGTTCATTTGACTTAATTCTCAGCTACAACACATTTTACTAGGGATGCCCGATATTACAATTCTGGTAAACACCTATAATTATGCTGTAATGGTTGATGTTGATCGATAAACAGCCAATATCAAAATTTGCACATTTCAAAATCTGTAAAATCCTCTCTAAATGTATGTCAATTAAAGTTAAATCAATTACTACTAATAACAACAAATTATTAATAAAATAATTAATAATAATTAAATAATAATTGAAAACATGTATGGGTATCTGCAGTTTCAAAAATCAAATGAAAGACTTTTAAGACCTACATAAATAAAACAAATACCTTATGTCCATACAGAGGAAACCCATGCAATTTTAAAATCTCAGCTTATTTTACATAATTTACTGTTGTTTACGCATTAATTTGTTGTTAATGCTGGACATTTAATTCATTAATTATAAACATATTTGTACTTTGAAATATAAAGCGCTCACATTTATTTAATTGAACCATGGTCTTTTGAAGTTTAATGAATCACATTAGGTCATAGTGTGATTCCTAATTTTCCATCCTCAAATGTAAGAACTCTTATGATATTTAAAAATGTTGCTGTACCATTTAAGATATTTACAACTTATGACGGCAAATCTGATCTAAATGTAAAACTATGGGAAATGAGCATGCACAATTAAATATCCATGACATAGTATCAAAATATTGTCCATCCCTTCATTCTACCATCTTAAAATCCAACCTGCAGACTTTAAAAACACTTTCTGACAGAGCTGCATTTATCATAGGAAAGTACAACTCTCTGAAAGCATTAGAAAACTCACACTACGTTAAACCTCACCTGGGCGATGCAGTAATCTCTGGGATTTTCCTTCTCCAGCCCGTATTTCTCCAGAGCCTCGGCCACAGCAAAGTCAGCCATATCAGTAGTTGAGAGCAGGATGGTCTTGTAGGGAATGTTTGGCTTCAGACTATCGGCGTAGATCCTCAGAGTCCCTCCTGAAAGAGAAAGATTGTGTGAAAGATAATTAAGAACTAATAGTGTAGCTTAGCGGCAGACCGATATATCGGCGAGGCCAATTAATCAGATGATACCTGGCTTTTCGAGATTACTAAAATTGGCTGATAATACAAGAGAATTAAGAACTAATAGTGCAGATTAGTGGTAGACCGATATATCGGAGAGGCCACTTAATCAGAATTGGCTGATAATCATGCCCATTAACTCCATGCACAGCTACCTTGTGTCAGATCCAATGTCTAAAGGCAGGCTGATATATAATGACAAGGCCTTTACTGATGGCCTAGTAAATGAATTGTAAAGATTTCGGGTACCAGCATTAGCACAGAAAATATTCCTCTTAAAACACCACCCTATGTTCTGAATTTGTGCATTGTACATTGTGTCCAATGTAGGTTGAAGGACTTTAATTAGTACGGCAGCACACAGCGTGAGAACTCAAACATCCCCAACACTGGGATCTAAACCCAGCCGCATGCTCGACTAAGCCTCTTTAACCAGTTCACACACTGCTTAACTCTTACCGGACGGGGTGAATGTGATGAGTAACTGGGAGCCTTTCTATGTGTGTCACGTTAAGGATTTGCCTCTGGTCTAAACCCTCGGCTGCAGACATACGTTATTATCCTGATTACATAAGCTTGGAAAATCTAAATATCCGTGTCTGTCCAGGACAGAAAGGCTATTTTAGGCATCAGTGTAAACAGAGCTACGAAATAAAGTTTTATGTTGAGATCTGGAATGGTTTTCCGCTTGAAAGTAGGTGGTTCACTGGCAGAAAGTCCCAACAAGTGCAATGGAGTTGCCAGGGCTCTGGTTTAGTGCTCTCATTATATAATTACAGTTTTCAGTGCCCCATGGAGACAAACAGCTGACATCATAGCCTATTTTACAGGAAAAACAAACACAAAGCTATTTTTGCACCAAACAGTCTCTAGACACACATATAGAGCAATAAAATTAGTCTATTTTTCTTCCAGAAAAGCTCAATGACCATAGATTTAATTCTTATTATGCACCTAAAACTAAATGTGCACAGTTATGTTAATATGCTCATGTCTGTGTCCTGTTCTGAATTAACTACTATTGTAGCTTAGTTTCCATATATGATCATAAGACTTCCATATGCAAATGTTCTCTGTTATGATTGGCTAGGCTCTTTGCATGTGGAATGAATAACAAGGCCTCCTGCTGAATAATCACTTAGGAGTTGATATGTAAATCCAGGCAGTTGTATGTCAGTGTAGATTATGTTGATGTATTAGAGGCATACAAACCTGAATCCGGTCGACCGTCTCCGCTGCGGAATTCTTGCATCCTCTTCTCCAGCTTCTGCTGTCGTCTCCTCTTCATCACCACCTCGGGGTTAGAAATGGTCCTTGTGAAACTGGTCTCTGGCATGTCTTTATATACCTCAGCAGCCAATCTGGAGTTCTCTCTATCAGAAAGAGGAACAAAAGCAAATTCTACATAAAGAGAAACCAAACATGTCCTTTCACGAATGATTAGGACAAAAAACTGAATGGATTTAGTTTTAAAGATACTCTTATACGATTTCTTTCTAATATCCCTTTTAAACGGACTATTGCCTTTATGTGCATGTCTATCATACAAGCCGAATTAGTTGATACTCCTCACCCATCCTCACGGTTCAGTGTGTGATCGTCTCCATCTGGAATTCTGGAAAAGGCCTCCTTCTCCCTCTTCTTCTCTTTCTTCTTCTCCTTCTTGGACAGTGTTCTTTTGAAGTTCTGGATCACCCCCTCCTTCTCTTTCTCAGGGCCATTTGTCAGTGTTCTCTGGTGGAGAGATCAAGAGGAAAAATAAAGAGAAAAATGTTGAGAAAAATTGCAGTGGGATATCAAACGGAGTAGGCTACGACACTGCTTAGAAAACTAGAATGAATTCTTAATGTTTATTTGTCTTTCGCTTAGTGGACATTTATTATGAAAAAATGTTTGAAAATGAAACAGCATCACTTGCTTTATTTAAAAAAATAAAAATGAATGAATTGTTTTATCTGAAATGTGCATTAACTTATTTTTCATCTTAGGCGACTTTTTAAAATTAATTATTTAAATGATTTTAAATTATAGTTTTTATTAATTCTTATTATAATACTAATAGTTTACACCATTATTTTAAATATTTTTACATTTTAAATAATTATCTGCATTATTATTATAGTTAATATTATTTTCATTCAAGATTACAAATTTTTTTATTTAATATTTATTTAAAAAATGTTTAATAATTAATTGCATTATTAACAAATATAAGTTAAAAGGGTGAAAGTTTAAGGCTAAATTATGTGGAACAACGTGCTTCTATTGACTTGAGCTCTTAACACAGCTGTGATTTTGCAATACATCATAGGAAACACTCCAAAGATTTACAGGGGGGATTTCAAAATATTGTGTTATGAGTGAATAGTAAGAGCCAAAGCAAGGATTGCAGAGTTCAAATTCAAGCATGCTGAACAAGTTACTCTACAAGAGAGCGGCCAGACAGATGTCACAACATCAATTCAACTCCACATCATCAAATGGTTGAGCTGAGAGCAACTAAGCAGCAGATTTTTAGAACGTTTTCAGGTCACAGTTGATATAAAAGCAATCCGTCCTAAATTACAGACATGAATCACCATTTGCACACTTATGGTCACACTTATCCACCTTTTTGCAACATAGAAGAAAGATATTTTCTGTGAATGTGTGAGACTTCATTGGCTGCTGTAGGTAAAGGACTTGAAGAATAAACAGTTAAACATTATAAAGATCAGTTTCCAATATCAGGCAGCATAATGTTTTTTGTACAGCTTAACTGGAAGTGAATGTCACCAATGCATTCTCATAGTTGCTTATATTAAAATAAATGTAAGCTTTCGTTCACAATGTATCTGCAGCAGACAAATGTGAGTGCTGTTCTGTGTGTGTGAAATTTTGTCTCAAATCTACGTTGACAAAAGCATGAATAAAACAGTGATGCTGGCATCCTCTCATCCTAAACACTTACCAAGTTATAGTCGTAAACAGCTGCCACTAGTGCTTACTTTGAGGACTCAAAACATATCGTGGTTTAGAAGGTAGAATTGAACTTTGGTTCGGGCCGAACAATCAAACAAAGTGTGAAAACAACCTAAAATGCAGAAAATTGTTGGGATCTACCACCGTTTTTGTACAGCTTAACTGGAAGTGAATGTCACCAATGCATTCTCATAGTTGCTTATATTAAAATAAATGTAAGCTTTCGTTCACAATGTATCTGCAGCAGACAAATGTGAGTGCTGTTCTGTGTGTGTGTGTGTGAAATTTTGTCTCAAATCTACGTTGACAAAAGCATGAATAAAACAGTGATGCTGGCATCCTCTCATCCTAAACACTTACCAAGTTATAGTCGTAAACAGCTGCCACTAGTGCTTACTTTGAGGACTCAAAACATATCGTGGTTTAGAAGGTAGAATTGAACTTTGGTTCGGGCCGAACAATCAAACAAAGTGTGAAAACAACCTAAAATGCAGAAAATTGTTGGGATCTACCACCCACACACATTCCTGCAGACTCAGACACTCCTAGCTCTTATTTTATGTCTCTTTGGGGAGCCTTGCTGCACACAACACTAAAAGCCACTGAAGTGGAGAGAGAGAGAGAGAGAGAGAGAGAGAGAGAGAGAGAGAGAGACAGACAGACAGACAGACAGACAGAGTAAAACGGAAAAAAAATGTATCTGCTCCACTTAAGTGAGGAAATGAAGTGTCTGCTGATGCCTGTGTGTTTGTATGTCCTGAGAGGGTTTTTAGCTGACGTGCAATGGGCCGGCTTGCGGAGAAGATGGTTTCGGGGGCCGTCTAACGGAAAAAAAATGTATCTGCTCCACTTAAGTGAGGAAATGAAGTGTCTGCTGATGCCTGTGTGTTTGTATGTCCTGAGAGGGTTTTTAACTGATGTGCAATGGGCCGGCTTGCGGAGAAGATGGTTTCGGGGGCCGTCTGAACAGCAGGGGACTAAAAAAGCTGTTCCAACATAACCAAGAGCAGAAAACTCAACAGGAACAAACACAGACAACCTCGGTGAATCGTCATAAAACTATAGCTTCTGCTTTCAAGCAGAACAAACCACAGAACCAGGCTCTGTGAAAGCAGGTTGGGTTTGTTTTCTAACTTTTGGTCTGCGTCCACGTTGTCTCACCTTGGGCATGATGTCGTTCTCGTTCTTGAGTACGAAGCGGCCCTCTCTGTCGTCTTTGTTCCAGTTCAGCTGTACGACCAGTGGTTTCTCGTCCAAGTCCAGTTTCCTCTCTTCTGTCACAGAGAAAGATTATGCCGGTCAGAAAATCACTTCTCTATGAACTTTAATCAGAGTAGACTGAAACCAAAATAAGGCTACAGTCCAAATGGGTCTCATTTATGAAAAACAAACAAGGAATTTCAAAAACCCATTATTTTCCAAATTACAGCATTTAATTCAAAATAGCATCCACTCAAAGAAAGGGTTTAAAAACTTTTACAGAAATTTTATATGTCAATGTTGTTTTATTTATGACTATTTTACAAACTACAGATATTTTTGTCCACTGGAAACTTGTATAAAGTCACATTTTCAGTGTTTTATCAGATGAACCAAACTAAGGGTGCTTTCACACCTGGACCGTTGTTTCGGAACCTGGCGCGTTTCCCCCCTTAGCTCGGTTTGTTTGGGCATATGAGAAAACAAGGTAATCGTGCCCGGATCCGCGGCAAAACAATAAGTCCGAGATCACCTGAGCGAGGTGGTCTCGGCTCGATTGAAAACGAACTCTGGAGCAGTTCGGTTGTAGTGAGAAAGCAATCCGATCCAACGGACCAGGCTATATCACAATGTATAATGGGTAATTAAGTAAGCTTCGTGAAAAGCATTAGCTTTGTTGTTTTGCTAATACTTCAAAATAAACCTGTGAATGTTTGTGGGTGAGCACGTCTTCGCCATTCAAAATAAAAAAGCGCACTTTTTCTTTTTATAATGCCGCCTTATTGCTCTTCTTCCTAGTAGGTGCATTTTAAAAATGTTTTCCCGATGAATCCTGGACTCCTGCTCAAAATGATAAATTAATATAAGAACAGCTACAAAAAACAAAAAAAAAACTAAACAAAAAAAATAAAAATCCAACAGCCCGCGAAGCTGTTGTCGTTCCATCCTGATGGATGACAGCTGTGACAGCTAAGTGGAATCCCGGAAAATAAACCGTGGAACTTTGACCAATGAGACAACAGTTTACTCGCGCGCGACTTGTATTAATAAATTTGGTCCGTTTAGAAACTTTGCCGTGTGAAAGCGAACCGCACCAAGAATAAAAAGCAACATTGTAATAATTTTAATTCCCGTTTCGGAACAAAGCAATCGATCTACAGGTGTGAAAACACCCTAACACTAAACCTCAATAAAGCTTCTTGAACCTCAGTTTCAATACACTACTCTCTCTTACTAAAAACAAGCAAAAAACGAGACCTTCCTGACATATTGTATATGCAAAAGACAGAATGTTTTCTAGAATGCAAGTAAGAGCAAATATTAAATGTGCTAGCAAATGCAACCAGATAAACTAAAACATTAGGGCCAGAAACATACTCTGGAAGTACACAGATATATGCAGTGTTGCATTATGAACTGCATTTTGACTTTTCCCTAATGCAACCATGTGACATTGAGTTGCGTTGCTAAAATGTATACTTTTATTCAGCAAGGGAGCATTAAATTAAAGGGAGCACAAAAATAACAGTAAAGGACATCAAATGTTACAAAAAAATATATATTTAAAATAAAAATGCATCATGGTCTCCACAAAACATATTAATGTTTTCAACACTGATAATAATAAGAAACATTTCTTGAGCAGCAAATCAGCATATAAGAAAGATTTCTGAAAGATCATGTGGCACTGAAGACTGAAGTAATTATGCTGAAAATTCAGCTTTGCATTACAGGAGTAAATTACATTTTAAAAGGTAATGAAATAAAATAAATATGTAAAAATATTTCACAATATTACAGTTTTTACTGTATTTTTGATCAAATAAATGTAGCCTTGGTGAACATCAGACTTCTTTCACAAACTTTCAACAACAAAAAAATCTTACCGACCCCAAACTTTTGAATGGTACTGTATGTTTTGTGACCAATTCTACTAAATTTATTAACAGTAAAAAGTCACAAAATGGCATTTTGATGATATTTGTGTTCCTATAACTCACCGCCACTAACGTGGACCTCATAGAGGGAGTATTTGGGAGAAGACAGCATCCTCATATCCGGTCTGAACTTTTCCGCCAGCGTCTCGATCACATCCTGCGTGGTCGCTGTGCTGGACACTCGGATACACTTTGTGGCAAAGTTCCCCGCCTTGGTGAACATCAGACTTCTTTCACAAACTTTCAACAACAAAAAAATCAAACTTTTGAATGGTACTGTATGTTTTGTGACAAATCCTACTAAATTTATTAACAGTAAAAAGTCACAAAATGGCATTTTGATGATATTTGTGTTCCTATAACTCACCGCCACTGACGTGGACCTCATAGAGGGAGTATTTGGGAGAAGACAGCATCCTCATATCCGGTCTGAACTTTTCCGCCAGCGTCTCGATCACATCCTGCGTGGTCGCTGTGCTGGACACTCGGATACACTTTGTGGCAAAGTTCCCCGCCACTCGATCCTGGAAGTAAAAACGCATCACGCCATGGAACTCCAAGTCCTGAAAGAAGAAAATGAATAGAACAATCAGTGCATGCCATTTCGGTCCATTTTATTTTCCTATTTCATTCCACATTCCCCTTCAAGTACATGCACGTTTAAAGAGCAACTACATCATGCAGAGTCACCATAAGGCTGGCGCAAAAGTTCATTTCTACCCCATCTGCAGTTTACGATTAAATCTAGCAGGAGGCTACATCTGTACCATCTCTGTTGTGTGAAAAAACGAGCAGCTCTGTGTGACAACATTAAACACGTAACCTGCAGCGGAGGCTGATATTTGAGCTGGCCGAGCAGGATGTATCTGGGATGAGAGGACAGCAGCCTTAGGACAACAGCGAAGACATGCTTGAAGAAACCTTTGTGTGTGTATAATAGAGGAGCAGGCGTATCAGCATTTACTGATATTGTCTGATTATACCACAGCAATATGAGCATCAAGAGCGTTTTATACTCATCCTGATGAGCTGTAATAAGCACACCACAGATACACAACTCCTTCACACTATACAGTGCTGTTTCCGGACACACACGACCACACGCCTGCGTGCGTGCCACACATACGAGATATCTGGACCCTCAGGGTCATGATGAGGCAACTATGAAAACACTGACAAACGCAGACCGCTTTCAATATATTTAGCAGCGCTAGAAATAATATTGAACCCCTAATCATAAGTATTAAAATTGTCAGCAAAAATGTTTTTTTTACTTTTCCAAGTGATCGGACAATTTTGCCAGTAAGATGACAGTCAAATTTTCTTCAGAACATTTTAAATGTAGTTCATTATAATTACATTATAATGAAGCCATACAAGCCAATGTACCTAAAACATAATGAAAAAGAGATTAAAAAAAATAAAAAACAATGTATCTAATTCCTATAATATGATGCACTTCTGAGTGAAACAGAATATTTAGCAGAATTTATTTTTTTGCACCTTTTGACCAATTAATTTCCTTAACTTTTCCTTCCTCAAATGTTCCAATTATTCAATCTATATATTTAGATATATTTTGTTTTAGAATAATATGCACTGATAAATAAGACCAAGAACCTTCAATAAGGAAAAAGGGGTAAATTCAAGATTTTGCATTGTTATTTTTATAGCACTTTTCCCAATCTGTGTTGCTTCAATAGCTGCTTTAGGCTACGTTTACACGACAATGATGTAGTCAAAAACGGAAACGTTTTTCCCTTGCGTTTTTAAAAAGTTTCACGTATACACGACAATGTTTTCAAAATGTTATAATGTTTTACTCGTTTACACATATCGGCGAAAACGGCCAAAAACGCTGTATTACGTATGCCAGTTGGCGCTGTCACCTTGTTAGTAAACAGTACCTGTTGTCGTGTGTATATGATGCGTCTCCGCTGTTGGTTGTAATTAGGGATGTGCGGGTCTAGTCGACTAAACGGTACAGCTCCTACTAGTCGACACTAAAAACAATAGTCGATTACACAACAAAAAACAAAAACATGATTTTATCATTCAAATTAACGTCATTTTAACATTGCATTTAAAACATTTTAAATAAGTTAAAATAAAACGTTTGAAAAATACATTATTTTCAAAAGTTTATCTGGGCGGAAACTACATTTTTACCTCAGACCTCACATGCGTTTTCTTCGTGTCAGTTGCGGCGAGTTCAAAAATGACCATGCAAAAGACGAGAAGGTGTGGGATTATTTTGAATTTGAAGGAAACGGAAAAGTTGTGTGTAAACTGTGTAATGTCAAATTGTCTTACAATAACTCTACTGGAGCGATGCGTAATCATATTCAATACAGGCACGTAGGAGTTAGCTTAGAAGCTGGCCAAAGCCAGCAAATGTCACTCACATCATTCACTACAACCTGCGATCCCGTCCGCACCATCTATTCCTCTAACAAAGACCCACTTCGGTGGTGGTGCGGGATGTCCAGGTACTTTCTGAAACTCTTATCTGCTTGCTTTTCGTTATCTCTGCATGCCTGTGACTTCAGTTCCTGCCGAGCGCGTTTTTTCAAGTGCAGGAATTTTATTGTTAATCGCCTCAGGTCCTGTCTTTCACCAGACCACGTTGATAATTTCACTGAACAAATAACGCATGGTCTGAGTAAGTAAAATGGGCATTGTTGCATTTTGTTTTTAGACGATATAGCCTACACGAAGTACGTTTTTAAAAGCCGTTTTAATGCTCTCTCTTGATAAATCTTCCTATTGTTTTTGACTTGTGTTTTAACATGTTGGCTAACGTTATATGAAGATGAAGAATTCTGTCAGGCTATTGATTGATTTTCCATTGTTCTGCATTTCCCCAGCTGATTTGAATAAATAAGCTATGCTTTGGCCGACGGTGAGTGTATACTTTTTTTTTTTCCCTTCATTTTAACGTCTGCCTAAAATTAAATGATGATAACGCGAGGCAAGTGTGCGGCAAGCGGAATTCATTGAGGGATTTGACAGTGATTCGTAGATTAAGTATTTCAAATATAGGCAATTTTATACGCTACACGCACAGGTTTTTTTTTTCTTACCATCTTTTGGGGGTTTCTTGCATTTAGACTAGTCTAAATACAAAACTTTCATTTAAACATCAGTCAAATTAGTGGTCGCACACATCCCTAGTTGTAATATTGGTGAAGTAAATCCACACTTTGCTGAGGAAGCGTTAGCAAACTCTTAAACAGCAACAACAGTACCATGTACTCCGCCATTGTTGTGTATGTTTGTTAGCCTACACGAAGTACGTTTTTAAAAGCCGTTTTAATGCTCTCTCTTGATAAACCTTCCTATTGTTTTTGACTTGTGTTTTAACATGTTGGCTAACGTTATATGAAGATGAAGAATTCTGTCAGGCTATTGATTGATTTTCCATTGTTCTGCATTTCCCCAGCTGATTTGAATAAATAAGCTATGGTTTTGCTGACGTTGAGTGTATTGCTCTTCTTTTTTTTTTTCTTTTTAATGACCGCCTAAAATGAAATGATAACGCGAGGCAAGTGTGTGGCAAGTGGAATTCATTGAAACGCATAAAAAGTTTCCCGTTTTTGGCTGAAAACGTTGTTGTGTAAACGGCCCCTTAGAGAACAAGTGCCTTAATGTCTAAAAGCCACCAATGAGCCTTGTATTGGAGGGAAACAAAAGGAAACAAAGGCTCATTTCGGAGCATAATAACTACACAAAACACAGATAAGGGAAAACATTTTGGGCTTTTAATTCCTGAAATGTGAGTGTGTGTGTGCGAGAGGTGTGACTTCAAACATCAAGAGAACAAATGTCATGGCAACCAGAACAATGAGTGTCAGGAGAGTCACCGTGTGTTTCCTCAAAACGCAAAGGGCCATTTCCTGTCAGCTTTAGTGTGTACACCAACTTCAGCCGGTTTGACTCTATCTGTAACAACAGGCCTAATAAAAAAAAGAATCAAGTCCTATTATAGTGAATTTGCCAAATTTATGGGCTATTGCTAGGTAAAACAAAACAAAACAAAATAAATTAAATGTTCAATAAATCACTCAATTTTTTATAACGCGAGGCAAGTGTGCGGCAAGCGGAATTCATTGAGGGATTTGACAGTGATTCGTAGATTAAGTATTTCAAATATAGGCAATTTTATACGCTACACGCACAGGTTTTTTTTTTCTTACCATCTTTTGGGGGTTTCTTGCATTTAGACTAGTCTAAATACAAAACTTTCATTTAAACTAGGGATGCACGATATATCGGCCACCATATCGGTATCGGCCGATAAGTGCTCATTTTTTCTGTTATCGGTATCGGCCTGATAAGAAAATTTGGCCGATATCTTAAAGCCGATAAATAATGCATTATTTCCTTCAGAGACACTTCAGATGCGCGCTGTTTGTGTATGTTTGTTTCGCGTTTGCCTTTAAAATCGACACGTACTGTACATGTCTACATACCTAACACGTACTATGCATGTGCATGACGTCACCGTTTTCAAAGATTCCCGTATTGGGTGTTTACACGGAAAAGACAACGGTGGCGTTTTCAAAAACTTGCACTTTGAACCCGTTTTCAAAAATATGCGTTTTCAGTCCCCAAAACGCTGTTGTCGTGTAAACGAACAGGCAAAACGCATAAAAAGTTTCCCGTTTTTGGCTGAAAACATTGTTGTGTAAACGGCCCCTTAGAGAACAAGTGCCTTAATGTCTAAAAGCTACCAATGAGCCTTGTATTGGAGGGAAACAAAAGGAAACAAAGGCTCATTTCGGAGCATAATAACTACACAAAACACAGATAAGGGAAAACATTTTGGGCTTTTAATTCCTGAAATGTGAGTGTCTGTGTGCGAGAGGTGTGACTTCAAACATCAAGAGAACAAATGTCATGGCAACCAGAACAATGAGTGTCAGGAGAGTCACCGTGTGTTTCCTCAAAACGCAAAGGGCCATTTCCTGTCAGCTTTAGTGTGTACACCAACTTCAGCCGGTTTGACTCTATCTGTAACAACAGGCCTAATAAAAAAAAGAATCAAGTCCTATTATAGTGAATTTGCCAAATTTATGGGCTATTGCTAGGTAAAACAAAACAAAACAAAATAAATTAAATGTTCAATAAATCACTCAATTTCTTAATAAATCCCGAGGAATTTTCAACCACCTTTTTGGAGCATTAATGAGATTTTATAGTCAGAACTATCAGTTTAGCATGCCAGATTGTACTAGACTTCATATA